ATCTGTGACCTCCGTCAGACAGTCTCTTTGAGAATCCCATTCTTTTCTGTAAAATGGGCACACACTACTTGCTCTGTTAACTTTGTGGGTTGTTAGGATTAAAATATTTATGGACCTGAAAAAAACATTAAATTAAATAGTACAAAGTGTCATAAGAATGAAAACCATTTGTTTTATCATCTTTATTTGGGTAGTGTTTTAGTTACTTATCTCATTGCTGAGACAAAATACCCAACAACCAAAGTTAAAGGAGGAAAGGTTTACTTGGCTTACAGTTTGTAGATGTTTTAGTTTATAGTTGGCTGACTCCCAGGCAGGGTGTTATGGGAGAGAAATAGTCCACAGCCCTCAGCAGGTGAGAAGGCAGAAAGCAGCAAGTCTAAGAGACCTTAGCAGCTTCTTTCTCCCCATTTATATTCTATTTAGGCTACAGGAATTAGGGTGGTGCCAAACCAATCAGTGGGCTAATTTAGTAACTACAAACCCTTAACCCCAGTATCACACACTTTAGATCAAATCACCTCTGAAAAAAGCCCCACCTATGACTGCATAAGGATTTGGGGGGACATCTAGACACAAGCCATAACAGGTAGGATTATTTGAAATTAAAGCCTCTAGGAATTAGCTTTCTGGTTGATACATTGGAGGTGTCTTTTCTCAAGGTCTCTGACTCTTATAGTGGAATCAACAACTTTGGAGTCAGATGCATTTAGGGTTCAATTCAAACTCTGCTGATGACTGGTTGAGAGATTATGGGTAAATTAGAGCACCCCGCTGAGCCTCAGCTTCCTTCTCTATAAAATGAGCACACCAATGGTCAGGTGACCTTGGGAAAGGAACTCACCCTTCTGTGTCCCTTAGGTGCCTGTCTAAAAAATGAAGATAACAAGCCCTAATGGGCGGGTTTGTGAGCCTGAGATGAGAGCTTTGCAGGGCACCTGTCCAGTGGTCAGTGTACAGTAGTAGTCTCTGTTCTTATTGCTTCATTCCTTGCTTCTGCAGCTCCCATCCTGTGCTGGAGCTCTTTCAGTGAGCAGGACATGAGCAAGGCTTCCCTCCCCCAGAGTGGGACCACAGAGGACCAGTTCACACTGTTACCACCTGCTCAGGTTAGCTTTTCTACACCATCCATCCCATAGGATCTCCCACCACATCCCCGCTGAAGAGACTGTTTACATCTCTCCCTTCTTCACTGTTGACTTGAGTAGGAAATAAGTAGGGTCTGGGACATTCGCCTGACCCCAGGACACCAGACTTTCTGACCAGGACAACCCTGCACCAGCTCAGGAAGTGGCCCCAAATGATCCGCTTAGTAAGCTCCAACTCCTCCCATTGCAGATGCCAGGGTCTCTCTTTCTTTCTTCCTTAGCCAGTCCCACACAGCCAGGCAGGTCCCTGCTTCCTTGTGATGCCACCTCCTCCTCAGAGGGCACAAGGACCTGCAGCAAGAATAACTTTCCCTCACTTGCCTGTTTCCTCACTTGGAGAGTCTCTAAGGAAGAGGCTGAACCACATCAAGTTCTTCCTCCTTATTGGAGACTCAGTGTGAAGAATATGTTGAACTATGTTTACCGAAAATATGAGCTGTGCTAAGGTACCTGGGAGTTATTTAGCAGCTACATTTACTTTCACACGTCCTCACCAGCTTCTGCCGTCAGTGTGATCCACGGTGCTGCCTGGTCACAGTGTTCCTTCCCTTGCACATTTCTCGCCCTTTCCTCATTAACCTTGAAGAAACCAGCAGGCCCACCTCAGAGACATAAATGCTCCTTGACCCCACATCAAGGTGTTTTCTCAGCTTTTCACCGAGTGATCTTGGCAGGGCCCAGGGCCACTCTTTACCCTCTTTCTCCACCTCCTTTTCTCTGCCTTCTTGGCCAAACCACCCTGTCCCAGGAACCTGCTAAGCCTCCTTTCCTTCCCTGTACTCCTCCCTCTTTCTCTCCCTCTCCCTCAGCTCCAGTAGCCCAGATCTTACCCTGTATTTCTTCAGGGACAACACAGGGGAGGGGCTCTGGCCTCTGTCCTTCTTCTTCAAGGCTGAATCAGAGCCCTTCCTCAAGAGCAGCTCAGCCCTTCTCCCAGAACCCAGAGCCCATCAGTAATGAACTTTGTAAAAATCTGGGTGTGGACATCTTTTAAAGTCTGGTGATGCCCATCACTTTTCTATCTCTGGCTCATGAGACATGAAAGAGCCAAAATTTTCTGCATTTCTGTCTGAAGTCATTGCAGTAATGAAGGCAGGAGGGGAGAAGTGTAATCATTTAGCAACCTGAAGAATTCCTGGGGCTGAGCAGCAGCATTTCTTTGACTATTTCCTGAGCCTGAGTTGGGAGTCCCATAAAAAATGTGAGCAAGACAAAAACATCTGCTGAACATTTTGGCCCATGGCTCCTGCACCTGCCCTGCAGTATAGCAATGTCTGGATGTCTGTGCCTGCTTTATCTTCCCTCCTCTCTCAGGCTTTGCAGGGCAGATGAGGGGACTTGTGGGTCATCTTATTACCCCTCACAGAGGAGGCTGCCTACCTGGGGGCTCAGGGAGCTCTGTGTCAGAGCTCAGGTGCTGGGCTCTCCCGACCTTGCTCTCTTCTCACTCTTCATGTTTAGTCTTTCTTACTCTCCTCCTTTTCTTAACACTTTTACCCCTACTTCTTCTCCACCTTTTCTTCCTATCTCTGTTCCTTCTCTTATTTCTTCTTCCATCTCTCTCTCTCTCACACACACACACACACACACACATATTTTAGCTGAAAAAATTTCCCACTTACAACATTTGCATTAATTTTTTCCTTTCCCAAGTGTTTCCACTCACATTATGTGTTCATCTTGAATTGTTCCAACCCCACTGAAAGGCAAGTGTGTGTGTGTGTGTGTGTGTGTGTGTGCATGCATGTGTCTGTCTGTGTCCATGTGTTTGTGTGGTCAGTGGGAGAATTTAAACAAAAAATGGGCTGGTCATTCATAGATTCAGTTAATTTATTTCATAATACATTGTACCAGTATTTTAACAGGTTCTGGGAATAGTGAATAAATTGGGCACCATCTTTGCCTTTGTGGTGCTTACAGTCTGCTAAGAAAAGCAAATATTTAAATAAATAACTGCGTTAAAGTGCACAGCATGCAATACAAAAGATATAAATGATCTGGAAACATTAAGGAGGTATTCCCTAACCTAGCCCACCAATCAAGCAGTACCCTCCATGCAAGATCACACACACACACACACACACACACACACACACACACACATACACCTCATCTTCAAATTGACACCAGTAAACTGAATAAAGCTTACAAAGATAAAAGAGGAATTATTGCAGAGAGATTGGAAGGTTGGTAAGCCATGAATGTTAGAGGGAAGGAGGATAACTATGAGGAGTTAGAACTAATTCATCTTGGAGAATAAAGTGCAAGAGAAGAGAGAAAAAGATGGAGAAGTTATCTGGGGTGAGTTGGGGGGGCGGTTCCTGAAAGACCAGAGTTGCTTTTTACATTCTGTGTGCAGGGTAGACATGAATCAGAGAAGGTCAAAACTGTGTACCCAGAAAGCAGCAAGTGGGAACATAGTCCTATAATGTAGGAGGGCAATGGGTGGCCCATTTTAGAATAACAGCAGCAGTTTGGAGAGACAGCAACAGGAGTTTTTGAAAACATGCTACTAGTGTAAAACAAGCTTTAAAATACATTAAATGAAAAATTCAGCAATTATTTTTCTATATCCTATGATATTATGTTAAAAAAATCCATATACATATATGTCATTAGGTACACAGATAATTTTTACAAAGATAAACAGCAGATTTTATTAGTAAATATCCCCAGAGGAAAATTCTTGAGGGGCTAGAGCAGAAGTAGGAAAGCTTTTCTTCTGTCTAATCAAAATTAGGTATTTTTCAGAGGAGATGTTTCAGGGGTAACTATCAACAAACTTGTACTTTCCTGGCTATGAGAACAAAAGCAGAAGTGCTGAGGGTTGACATGTAGGGTTCTTATTCAGACAACTTTGTCTATCACATTTGGTCAGTAACAGCACTGAAGGAGCAAGTTTGGTGAGGAAGAGCAGGTTTAGTGTTCAGTTCAGGGCATATTGAGTTTGAGATGTCTATAAATTATCCAGCTGGCGTGGACCGGTAAATGGGTATCCAAGCTGCTTGTGCCTGGGGCTCAGGAGACAAATCTAAACTAAAGAGAGGTGCTTGCAAATCATAAGCTTACGTGTGGTAACCTATGAAAGCAGGTGTGATGGCCTAGGTGATGAGGAAAACACCATGCCACTACTGTGTGTACCAGCATGTTGTCTTATTTTGGTACATGTACACACATTTTTGTATGCATATGCATTACGTATGTCTGTATGTGCATTTTTAGTGCATGTGTGATCCCTTACTGTTGGGCATGTAGCTCTGTGTTTTTGTATCCAAATGAATCTTTCTGTGGTTTCACAAATCCCCCTGACCTCCTTACCCCTCAGAACAACATTCTTCTTAAAAGTTATATGGCTTTTGTTAGAGATGATGACAGGACTGAGATAAGATGTGAGGGCAAGGGACAAAGGGAGGCTGTGTATGAGCCCCTCACAACGGGTACCTGGGACACCTGGTTCCAGATTTTCTTCCTAGCAGAGATGGTTCCTCCTTTATTATTGTTGCGCACTTCACAGCTCAGCACAGGGGCAACGAGAGATGGGTGTGGAGATGACAACCTTAGGGTACAAGGTGAAAGCCTTTGCTTTCAGGCTCAGCAAGGATTAGCTGCAAAACAGACACCTGAAGGATAGACCAGGGAAAATCTTACAGAAGAAATCACTGGACCACATACAAAGGCATAATAAACCACCCATATTAAAAACAGAGCAGGATAAAAATGAGGTGCTGAAACCTCAGACTCTGACCCTCAAACACCAATGATTAGGCGACTCAATAACAATAAAACAATCGAATTTGAAATGAGGCAATAAACTTGAATAAACATTTTCTAAAAATTTATAAATGTCCCATAAATAAGTGTAAAAAACTATGTTCAATATCCTCAGTCTTTAGGGATAAGCAAATCAAAACTATAATGAGATTAGAAGGGAATACAAAATAGTGAAATGTGGAAAACAGTATGGCAATTTCTCAAATATGGAATTGTCCTGTGATCCAGTGATTCCATATCTAGGTATACTCCCAAACAAATTTAAAGCAGGAACTTGAACAGATATTTTAAGTTCCATTTTTATAGCAATATTATTCACAATACCAAAAGGTAAAAGTAAAAAACTCTAGTATCCATTGATAAATGAATGAATAAACAAGACATAGTGTGTGTGTGTGCGTGTGTGTGTGTGTGTGTGTGTATAAACAGAAGGAAACATCATTTGGTGTTAAAAGGAATGAGATTCTGATACTTGCTACAGAAGGTCTAACCCTTGATAATATCAAACAAAATAAATTAGACACAATAGGACTGATACGCCTGATTCTACTTACATGGGGTACATAAAGAAGTCCGATTCATAGACAAAAACTGGGGGGAGGAACAGGGAGAGTGGGGAACTATTGCTTCACAAGTATGACTTTCAGGTTGTGATGATGAAAAACTTCTGTACATGAATGGTAAAGTTGTGCAACAATGTGAATGTATTTCATGCCAGAGAATTGTACATCTATAAAAGATTAACGTGGTAGGTTGTATATTCATGTATTTCACAACAAAAGAGAAAATTTAAAGAAATCAAGGATGAGGAAACTTTCTTCTTGCAATTTTCTAGTTGGTGTTGGGTTACTAGATAGGGCCAGAGTCCTAAGAAGGGGTTAGGAAAGGAAGGCCACCACCTCTATACCATGCTTAACCATTCCCATATTCACTCCTCAAGAACCAAGCAGGTTCCACAGCTTCCTACCTTCTGGTGCTTGCCTGGGGCAGAAGAGAGATGTTTAGACATTAATCTAGCCTCCCTCCCTCATGTGTTTAGTTGCCAAGTTCAAGTTTGTTCAAAAAGATACTTGCTTTTCTTAAGCTATATTTCCAAGAACTTGTAAGACATATTCTGTGATACATAACCATTTCCCATCTCCAGAAATGCTGATGGGAAGGGTGGGCTAAGATCTTTTAGGAATTACTCTGTCTATGCCATGGCATGATTACCAGGCATGAAAGTTAGGTAATTGCCTAAGTAGAAATCCTCTCTGTCCCACCCCAGGCCACCTGGAGCCAGACTGTGAATAGCAGGATCCTCATCAGAAGTGGTACACCTCCTCTCCATCCTCCTCACCAATGTCCAAGCCAAGATTCAAGTGTCCCAGTGTGTTTCGACGAAGGATCTCCCAGCCCCGGTGACTGCTGCTGCTTTGGGATGTGTTCCTGGACAGAGAGGGTGTCTGGAGGGCCAGGGAGGCTCTGGCCAGAGTTCCACTCTCATTTCCAGAGGGTTGTTTCTCAGAAAGCTGCTTTTGTCCATCCTCCTTGTCTGAGCTTTTGAAAGCTTCCACATAGCGAAGCACTCGCAAAGGATTCTGATCCTGGTGGTTTTCAACCCTGGTAAGGGACAATAGAAAGAACTCAGTTCATATGGAGAGAGATGATGAACCATAAGAAGATGCTGGGACAAATGTGGAGGAAACAGGATCATGAGTAAAGAGAAGGACAGGAGCAGATTGAAGCAGGAAAATAAACAGGGATCAAGTAAGGAGAAGCAGATTCAAGTGGAGGCAAAGTTGGGAATGAGATGAAAAAGGATGAACAGTTAGGTTTTGGAGGGGAGAGCCTGCACTGCTAAATATGTGAATGTGTAGAGAGTTTGAGAAGGTGTAATTCAGGAAATATACATAAGAAAGAAAGAGAGTCAGGTTGGAAGATAAGGAAAAGCATGAAGGGTGAAGTTAAGTTCAAGGCCAAAGTATATTGAAAATTTGGACCAGGAAAGAAGAAGACTGAACATAAAATTGAGCACTGATCTGAGTGCAGTCGCAAAACACATAACCTTTAACACATGGCTGCCCTGAGGTATATTCTTTATAATTTCTTAATTTCAGGTCCATCTCCTTCTCAAGACAGGCTAGTGCAGTCTCCTGCTTGCTCACACTACCACTGCAGAAGACATCTGCAGGTCCCAAGTACCCACGATCACTCACCGCAAGAACCATCGGTTCCCCAGGCCATAATCACACCCACAGATTCCCAAGCGGGGCCACAGGAAGCGGGGCATCTTCCTCTCCAGCAGCACTGTGGTGGCCACAACCTGGAGGGAGGTGACAGGTAGAGAGAGTTCAGAAAGAGCCCTGAAGTTCAGAGAGACACTGGGGCACAAAAGGAACTCCAAGCAACCCGTAAAATGAGGACCCCAGAGGCCAGTGGTGAGGGACACCATTTGTTCACCTCTACTCTGCCCCAAGACTGTGCTACCCTGCTTTTCTCAACCAAAAAAAAAAATTTCATATTTTGAATAAAAAAATTATTCCTCCATTATTATTCAGATTCATGGAAAATGAGTCATTTCAAACTGTTTTCTTTCTGACAGGAAAGCCACAGACCAATGATCTTGATTTAAATAAAATGATTAAAGAAACCTCTGTGATCTCAGGGATGAAATGATGCTACTCCAGTTCAGGAAATTTGAAGCAAATTAAACATCTATATAGTAAAATGGAAAAGTATCGATTAATGACTGCCTACTTGGCAGGGAAATTTCTAGTACCATGTTCATATTCTGTTCTTTGCCCAGCCTTCATTAACCACCTAGAGGAAACACAGCTTATCAAATATCCCTGTGGCATACAATGGGAAGGAAACATAATATGTGGTGTGAAAAAGGCAGAAAAAATGATCTCACCAAACCAGTATTCTGTCCTAAAGCCAATAACATGAAATTTAAGAAATTTCAAATGTGAAGTACTTTATTTACATTTATGAAGCTAACTTAAATAAATTGTATTTCAGAAATTCTAGTTAATCATAAGCATAGAAAGAGGCATTTACATATTTAGTAAAGACTTAACTTTAGAAGCTATTAACAGTAGTATTAAGGGCAAAGTGAGGAAAGGCATGAGCTCTCTATGGACTATGTGAATCTCATCACATCAGGGGACTTTCTGATTTCAGAAGGATCATGACCTATTGGCATACAGATGGAGTCACAAAGCCTTATTGATTGAAAGAGCTGAGAATTCTTAAAATAGCCATTTCCCTATGTTATGTTCTTCAGCTCCCTGGCTGTCTCATTACTTCACTTTCAGTGTTTTAGCTGTGCCGGGTTTCCTCCACCTCCAGACTTCCAATCATACTGTTCTCTTTTTTAAATAGGTCTGCTTTTCCTCAAAAAGGACTTTTAGGGTTCTTCTGACATCATTCAGCCTCCCTTTCCTTTGGGTATAAGAACCCACCTTTCCTTCAGAGGTTCACTCCTCCGCTCAGAGTCCACTGTTAGAGTAGACTGGGATTCACCCAGTTCTTGTGTTAATCTATTCTGCTCAACAGACTGCGGAAAGGAGACCTCACTCTCATATCTGCTGGCATCACCACTCTAGTCTTTGGTCTTATCTGAAATTAAAAGATGGATCTAGGAACCAAACCTACCACCAGGACATGGAACTGAACTGAGGCAGAATTTTCTGGGGTCAAAGGTGCCATTTGAAAGCCTAGAGTACTGCACAGCCTCAGGACATGCAATGGATGCAACATATAAGGGGCCCTTGGGATTGTGCAATACTGGGAATCATACTAGGGCATGACAGAGGAGAAACGGTTCATGGCAGGGCAGGCAGGAAGCTGTAAACAGCAGCAGCCAGCCTCCCTTCCCTTTTCATCCCATCCAGGCTACAAGCCTTTTGGGTGGTGCCACTCATACCCAGGGAGGGACTGCCCATTATCCACACCCAGAACTATGCTAAATCAATCAGTGAACTAATTTAGTTATCAACATCTTCGTACACCCTAATATATCGTCACATGCCCCAGATTCAGCCACCTGCAAAAATCCCCCACCTATGAGCACATGAGGTTTTGGAGGACACCTAGATACAAGCCATGGTAAACATGAACCTATCTAACAATAAAAACCTTCAAAATGCAGAAAATTTCCCTTCCCCAAACCCTGCTCACACATACAAGATAACAAGGTCTTAATTAGCCCTAAAGAAGATTATAAATGTCCCTCTGACTTATAAATGATTATGTTGAATAGTTAGAATTCTTAACTAAGAGTAAATTTTAACTTCTGTTTTATGATGATACAAAGAAAAGATTATAGAAACTAGAGATTTCTAGAATCAAATAAAAGATAAGGACCAAAGTTTAAAAAAATAGAATATACAAGAACAAAATGATTTCTAGTCTCCAAGGGATTCAAGGAGGAATAGTGGATCTAATTTTCACCTGTGACCAATAGCACCACCTCCCTCTATCTTCCATTTTTTTTCTGCTTCTGTCTCTTCCATCCATCTACAGGTACCAGAAGTTTATATAAACCTTACAGAGTTGATAGCCTCACCAAATTTTCCTGTGACTCTCCACAGACAAACCCCACTTTGACTTTTCTCTCCAACCCCTGACCCTTAACAGACTGACACTAATAAACTCACCTGGGCCCTCCAGAGCTCATCCCGTTCCTGAGCCACTCGCCAGTGGGTGTCACCCATCATGGCAATGAACAAATTGAGCATGAGCAGCGTGGCGATGATGGCAAAGGCAGCATAGGTGATGCTGTATATGAAGGGCAGATCTACACTGTAGTTGGCCGGGCCATCGATGATGGTGAGGAACAGCTCAAAGGTGCTGAACAGTGATGTACGGTAGTCAGAGAACTCCCCAAGAGTGGATGGGTCTTCTGTCTGGAAGATGATAAAGAATGCTGCTCCGCCCAGGAAAAGGGCATGGAGATGTGGAGATGAGGAAATGGAAATATCACCATAAGCATAAGCCTGGTTAGCATTCACTCTACCTGGTCAGCATCCTCTGTCTGTCTGTCCATCTGTCTGTCTGTTTCTCCACATTTATATGCATGTTTACACAATTTACACATCCACAAATGGAGTTACTTGTGGAATCAACACTAAGATGTCTTATGACTAATTTGATTATGATGGGTAATGATAATTAATATTCAGCCATTTATGAAAAAATTATGTGTGTACATGTATATGAATAATAAATCACCTAATAGATTCTTACTTTTTTGGAAAACAAATTTTTGAAAGATAAATTATTAAAAGTATGCATGGAACATCCAAAACTTTAAAAGAACAGAGCACATGTAAAAGGTAAAAGAATGGCACTTTCTTCATCCTGATGAGCTCTAGATAACCATGCATCACTCTGAGCTTTCCAAGGTGAGCTTGGACCATCACCATCCCCGATAAGATACCCTTGCTCAGTGTGTAGCCTGCTGGATGGTTGTTGGTCCTCTGGAAACTAAGGACATCACTAGACCCTTTACATGACTTCTCTCTTCATGCAGAATGGAAATATCAACAAGGAGATTTTGAAAGTAGAAATAGGGTCTACTACAAAGAACTACCTCCTTGCTTAAGAAAAATTTAAGGGGAATGGTCAAGAAGTGATCATTTAGGGGATTCTGGGTACAAGACATGTACAGAAAACCACGCTGTTGCCATTACTTTATTTTATAACCTATATATGTGCAGAAGCAGTTAGAGCATAGAGGGAAGGAAAGGTACATGGGGCTCAGGGAGTGGAATATTCCAGGCTACTATAGTTTTATCCTTTCGTATATAAGATCTTGGTGTAGTTATGCATCTCCTGTTTTGTGAGAAACACCATTGCAGAGGGAAATTTCTGGAGATAGTATAGAGTTCTTGGTAATGAATCATGGTTGTTTAGAAGTGGAGGGGTCTTCAAAGCTCATGCCTAGTGGGTGGGCAGCTACAGACACCAAGGACTGAGTGAGAGTCACTGCCTTCCCCTTCCACCTCTCAGAACTCCTCTACTTAGCTACACCCTCTCAACATCCTCTGGCTTTCTCTGCCTGGCCCCACTGGTGTTGCTCTCTCTCCAGCTCCTTGGCACTCTACTGTGCCTTGATGGAGTCCCTAACGGTCTCAGTTGTTTGGGTCTCTCTTTGCCACTCGTTGTCTTCTGTTTTCCTGTCACATCCAAACTCTTCAAATTCTCTTTCTATACATCCTTTTTCTAGTACTTTCATTTTTCTCAACTTTAAATGAACACATGCAGAAAGAAAGCACATTGCATATTATTAACTTCTGTATGCTTCTTCTTCTTCTGAATTGTAAATACAGAGGAGGATTTGAACAATCAAACATTGAATTGTCCTTGTTTGCCCACACAACTTGTTACCTCCACAACTGGTGTTTCTTGTTTAATGTCTCCCTTTCACCAAAGGTTTTTCTATATCTCTCCATTAAAGGTCTTCCAGGGAGGCTGGACAATGAATGTTAGCTCAGAACACAGACTACTTTCTAGGCCAACCTGAGTGGTCCTGAGCTCAGGGATAAAGATTATTTTCTAACAGGAAACAAAAAAATGGAGTGTAGATGAGAACTGAAAGCAATAGTACAAATAAGCTTTCCTAAGACCTGGATCTAATCTCCTGGATGAAGGCATAGTGGTCTTACCTGAGGCAAATCCCAGGATGACCATGCCCATCAGCCAACAGAAACGCATTAGGTCCCCAAAAATCATCTATGGAAGATAGAGGAGAGGAAGAAGGATGGGATCATTATTTCCTCCCTGTCTGAGCAGCTAATGCTAACAAATCAGGAGTTCCTTGTAATTCTACCAACTCCATTCTGAGCAGCCACTCCTCTTTGCACTTGTCCCCATTCCTCCATCCCTCCCTCTGGGAAGGTCCAGGGGTTGATCAGAGGGAGGCTTGGGTTAGCACTGACCTTCTGGATCATGATGGTGAAGGGGCCCAGCATCTGGAGTCCTCGAGCAAAGTACATGACACTGCACCAACCCAGCACCAGGGCCAAGGACAAGGGCAACACTTCCCCATTCACATTGGTGAGCCGCATCACCATGGTCACAAGCACAAGGGAGGCATAGCTGATGCTGGGGGAAAGCAGGAAGCAAAGTGTGAGAGCCAGGCTAGGAACCTTCTAGGTCCTCTATAGCGTGGAGTTGACTTGAGAGGTACCCACACACTTGGACTTGTCTTAACACCTAAAAGTCACACACAGGCATAGAGACAAGCCCACTGGAGAGAAATCATGGGGTAAAGGTCACCTGAGTTCTAGATGCCTGAGAGTGAGCTGGAAGTTTGAAGGAAGAGAAACTCACATGATGACATGGAATGGGCCCCCGAGGACAGTCTGTCCAAAATAGCGAGATGCACCAACTCTGAAAATGTCTGGGATCTGGGGAGAGGCCAGGAAATGAAAAGACAATGTAGACATCACTTCATTCAGGGTCCTCACATGATGCACTTAGCCCTACCCCTCACCTCTACAAGGAGGATAATCACAGCTCCAATGACAGACACCAGCTCCCCTGCCAGCCGGATGTAATCCTCATAAGTCACATACGCCTCCTATGGGGAAAAATTCAGGACAAGAAATATTTCTGATGGATGAAGAGTCAAATCCTTTGGTCTAAAGTTGTCAAGGTCTGTGCACAATACAAAGCCCCCTGCCCACCATCATCACCATCACACACACTGCAGGTGTCATTGTTCCAACTCTGTAACCACAACATGAGTCTATGAGTCCAAGGTTTAAGGATAGATGTCAACAACTGTTTAGCAATGTCACTTCCTCTCTGTATGCTGTGAGCATTAATTAATAATGTGTGTACTAAGCAGCAGTGAATATATTTCAGAACACCAAGAAAGCCAAATGAACAAGAGCCTTTAGTGGCTTGGTATGGTTTCAGCTATGGGGAAAATCCAGATGTTCCATTCTCACTGTAGCTTGCACTGGGCAGAATACTCTGTAAATGGATCTCAGAATTCAGGTTCTGGTATGGGCCCAGAACATAACATCCTTAATGAGACCACAACCCCACCATTGAAAGCTTCTCATCTGTCAAAGGCAGATTCTAACACTACTTCTCAGGGTTACTGTGAGGAGCACACTTGGTGATGCGTTTGGTTGAACTTTATACTCCATAAAGTACCATAGGCACGTTCATTTTGGTTTTATCATGACTTGGCAATACAGACTCAGGTAGAATTGGACTAGAAAAACTGTATGGAATCTCATTCTCTGGAAGTCTCCCTGCCTATCCCGAGCAGTAGATGGAGAAGGTATAGTCCCAGGGTTAAGGTGAGACAGATGAAGACAACCCACTTCCGTGCACACCACCTCAATCATGTTCTGCAACACTGCACAGATGTAATGATCAAATTCTACATTAATAATACTTAACTTTTTTGAAGTCACAAGCTCAGCTGAGATATAAGAAAGACAATGGACACTTTCTTGAAAATATGTTCAATAGTATACATTTCCCATGGGAAATTGTACCTATAATTCCAACATATTTAGGCAGTTATTACACTGCTTCAGAGTTTGTTGTTTATTCATTTGTTTATTCCCAGCCTTAGAAAATATCTTTGAACTCCCTCTCACTTGTCTTGAAATTGAATTCATGGACTGTGCTCTTTTTGTTTATCTTAATCCTCTTATACTATCTGCCTTTCATTGTAAAACGTACCATCTCCTTTTTAGGCTCACAAGATAAGAGAATAAATAATAAGTACATTAATTTTAAAGTAGCTTTAAATCTGGAAATAAGATAACTGCATCTATGCCATATATGTGTCTGTACAAAATAGTTGAATTATTTTAACAACTTTTTATCTTGATTATTCTGGAAAAGAGATAATTGGCTCATCTAAGAAAAGGAACTGCATGGGAAGGGGAAGTGGGAGGGGTAGGGAAAAGGAAAGAAGGGAAGGGAATTAATATGAGAAAATGAAAGAATGGAAACAAAGGCTTTGTAAAT